AAAAAAAAAAAAAGATAAAGAAATTGGAAGCTGGCGGTCAAGCTAGGCCTGGTGGCACTCACTTATGATCTTGGCATTCAAGGGGTAGGCAAAGGGATCAAGAATGTGGCACACACTAGTCATCTCAGCACTTGGGTTGAAAACATTAAGATTGGAAGTTCAGGGGTATCCTTGGCTACATAGTGTGTTTCTGACCCTCCTGAACTATGTTAAATTCTGCCCCAAAAAAAGAAAAATAAACAAACAAACTAGTAGTCCAGGAAAGGCAACATAAATCCCATAGATTCTCTGGTGTGGATTACTTTTTTGTGTGCCTTTCTTTCTGTTAACTCAAGTGTTTAAAATCCATTTTTTAGATCTTTTAATAAACTCCAACTCTGCCAGGTATGGTAACACATACCTTTAATCCCAGCACTTAGGAAGCAGAAGTAGGAGGATTTCTGTGAGTTAAAGGCCAGCCTGATCTACAGATTGAGTCCCAGACCAACTAGGGCTATGCAGTGAGACCCTGTTTTCAAAAAGAAAGTATTAAATATTGAAGCTAAAGAGATGACACAGTAGTTAAGAGTCTGACTGCTCTTGCAGGGGACCTAGGTTCTGTCCCCAGTACCCATTTGGCAGCTCACAACTGTTTGTAACTCCTATTCTAGGGTATCTGATGCTTGCTTCTGATCTCTCCAGGCACAAGGCATCAGGCACAAATGTGGACCATACCATACATGCAAGCAAAACAGCCATAAACATAAAATTTAAAAAAAATTGAATTAATTTATTTATTTTACCATATTCTGCCTGCAAGCCAGAAGAGGGCACCAGATCTCATTATAGATGGTTATGAGCCACCATGTGGTTGCTGGGATTTGAATTCAGGAACTCTGGGAGAACAGCCAGCAGTAGTGCTCTTAACCTCTGAGCCATCTCTCCAGCCCCAATAAAATATTTTTTTTGTGCTAAGTGCACTGGATATATTGAAGACACCACATCTGTACAGTGGCAGAGGGGGCTGGGAGAGGCAGGAAGTCCATATTTCTTCTGACCAGTGAGTTCCTATCGAGCACGTGGAAACCCAGGCACACAGCCAGGAGATGGCAGCAGACCAGTAAAGGCTGCCTCCCTACCTATAAATAAATAAATGAATAAATGAATAAATAAATCTATATAGAGCAGGGTGACACATCTGCAAAGGGTGTTAGTAAGAGGAACCAGCTATGTGCAGGATTGCAGCAGCATAATTCACTTTATGTAAGATGTTTGCCCCTGGGGACAGCATATGTCACTGATGTTACCAGCTGCATCTGCTCCTGTCTGCTGTGTGTCTGTGTGTGTGTGGGGGGGGGGGTGGAAGAAGCCTGCGCAGGACATTCACATGTGAAGTTACAGGGAATGAGGCTGCTTGTCCATAGATGCATTTTCATCTGTGAAGAAAGAGGTAGAAAAAATATTCTCAAAACTGAACTGAAGATGTTTGTGTTTTCTTCTTTTTCTTTTCTCTTCCTCTGCCTTCTCTCTCTCTCTCTCTCTCTCTCTCTTTTTGTTTTACAATACAGGGTTTCTCTGTGTACCCTTGGTTGTCCTGGACTCACTTTGTAGATCAGGCTGGCCTCAAACTTTCAGTTATCTGCCTGCCTCTGCCTTAATAGTGCTGGGATTAAAGGCACGTGCCACCATACCCAACTTGGAGAAAAGTCTCTGTATATTCTTAGTTGTTCTGGAACTCTGTAGACCAGGCTGGCCTTAAACTCACAGTGATCTGCCTGCTTCTGCCTCCCTGAGTGCCGGGATTAAAGGCTTGACTTGACTT